GCGGTAATGCGGTGATGCAGGGCCGTCATATCTGGGAGGGCTCTCTGCGCTCAGTCCTCATCTCCATGCTCAGTCCTCATCTCCAGGAAACGCGTCTAACAAACCTCACACAGAGGACGAGACCCGCTCCTGAACCACAGACTGCGGGTGATTTTGAAATGACTGCTTCGCTGCTACTCCAGCGGCTGAGGAGAGAACAGGAAATCCACATGTTAACCTCAAGGGCTTCTGTGGTTAGCACTGCAGCGCGCTGGGAGATTAGCAACCTCCTAGCAACCTGGTGCACGCAGTAGGGATATGTATCTGACCCTGGCCGGGTGGCTCGGTGGTTGGGGCATCATCCTGTACACCAAAGGGTTGCAGGTTTGATTCTGGGTCAGGGCACATACCCAGGTTTCAGATTCAATCCCAAGTCAGGGAGAATATGGGAGGCAAGCAATCGATGTTTCTCTCTCACATCAAAGTTTCTCTCTCTCTCTCCTTTCCTCTCTCTAAACATAGCCTCAGGTGAGGATTGAAAAAAAAGCCAATCAGCCCTGGCTGGCTTGGCTGAGTGGATAGAGCGCCAGCCTGCGGATTGAAGGGTCCTAGGTTCGATTCTGGTCAAGGGCACATGCCTGGGTTGGGGGCTTGATCCCCAGTGGGGGGCTTGCAGGAGGCAGCTGATCAATGATTCTCTCTTATCATTGATGTTTCTCTCCTTCTCCCTTCCTTTCTGAAATCAATAAAGAAATATATATTTTTTTAAAAAGCCAGTCATCTGATACTTCTCGTGGCCCTTCTGAAGTGTATAATTATGCAAATGTAAAGAATTACGATGATCGATTAGATTTTTAGAAAGTTACGCGCGCCTGGGAGACATTTTTGTTGCAGTAACAATGCTACCACCTTTCAGATAGTCGTCCTCCGCTACTTCCTGCTATTTCTACTGCTGGTCAAGTGCGTCTCCATCCCTTGAAGTTCAGGCAGAGAGATTCCACTGACACAAGGGCTCTGGCTGGCGGCCAGCGGAGGAAGTTCCTGGATCCAGTCAGCAGCCCCCCCAGCAGCAGTGGCTTCCCGCCCCTCGTCCCCTCGGCACCCGAATCATTTCAGCGCTGAGGATGCGCACATGGTCCCGTCTCCTCGTGTGCGTGTGGCCCTGGTTGATTTGTGGGGTGAGAGGGAGGGAGTGACAGAATCTTTAGTGAGCTCTCGAAGTTTGCATACTCTCCTGGCTGTCACTTTATTTTTTATTTTATTTTTATTTATTGATTTTAGAGGGGGGGGGGAAGGAGAGAGAGAACGTCGATTTGTTCCACTTATGTATGCACTCATTGGTTGACTTTTTAAAAAGTTGATTTTAAAGAGAGAGGAAGGGAGAGGGAGAGAGTCATGGATCAGCTGCCTCCTGCACGCCCCCTACTGGGGATTGAGCCTGCAACTTGGGCCTGTGCCCTGACCGGGAATTAAACCGTGACCACTGGTGCTTGTGGGGGACAACAGATGCAAAAACCCCCTTCCCCCCCCCCCCCCCACTACTCTTTTCCTGGGGAAAACATTTTGTCTCTTGTAAAGAAGTCGCTGCCATTTAAAATCCTTGCTTGGATCACAATGGATGCAGCCTGCTAACTTGAGTAGTAAGCTCTCCCCTCTCTCTCTCTTCCCCTCTCAAATCTTTATGGGAGTGGAGCAGCCCTCACTGGGCTTGAGGGCGGCACGAGCCTTCCCCACGCACCCCCACCCCCAGCAGATAGCCAGCCTGTGCTGGGCTCCTTAAGAGTGGTGGCCGCACGTGGGGCTTTAGCCACGGCCACTCCAGGTTAACAGCGAGCGCCCCTGGGAACTGACCTTTACACCACTTCACAACCGACATTCCCTTTTGCTTGACCACATTCCACTTGCTAAGACCATTATCTCTCCCCTCCGGACTTTCCCAGGATCCGGACCCGCCCGGAGAGTTTCCCGCTGAACCCCCCTCCCCCCGGAGTCCTTAAACCCTCTGACAGGGCTCAGCCCATGTGGTCTCCAGGTGACCCAATTCATTCACGATCCCTCACCATGTGTGCTCCTCCTTTGGCGACCCTGACGGACCCCCCTGGTTCCTGCAGGTGGCCCTGCAGTGTCCCCCGAGTGTCCTCCAGGCCGAGGGAGGCGGGGCCTGGGCAGAGGACAGAGGCTGTGAGGACAGGGGTAGAGATTGGAGGGGGGTGGCCACCAGCCCAGGAATGCTGGCCACCAGACACGGAGGGGCAGGACACAGGCTCGCCCCACTGCTCTGAGGGCCCGCCCTGCTGCCCTGGAGTTCACATTTCTGGCCTCCAGGACAGAAGCACATGTCGCCTGTTTTGAGCAGGTGATGGTGATGTGTGACAAGAGCCAGCCCTAGGAAACAACAGTGTCCCAGAGGCGCCTCAGATTTCCATGTGCCCTAAAGGCACTCATGGTTGACTCACCTCACCTGCCCGCGGGCCTCCAGTCGCCACTTATCAGGCACTCAACTCAGTTCTTCAGCCAGAAAGCCACTTGTCTGTTTTCTTTTTTCAAAAAAATATATTTTATTGATTTTTTTTTACAGAGAGGAAGGGAGAGAGATAGAGAGTTAGAAACATCAATGAGAGAGAAACATCGATCAGCTGCCTCCTGCACATCTCCTACTGGGGATATGCCCGCAACCAAGGTACATGCCCTTGACGGGAATCAAACCTGGGACCTTTCAGTCCCCAGGCCGACGCTCTATCCACTGAGCCAAACCGGTTTTGGCAGACTTTTCTGTTTTCTTAAAATATTTTTATTGATGTCAGAGAGGAAGGGAGAGGGAGAGAGAAACATCCATGATGAGAGAGAATCATGGATCGACTGCCTCCTGCACGCCCCACACTGGGGATCAAGCCCACAACCCGGGCATGTGCCCTGACTGGGAATCAAACCGTGACGCCCTAGTTCATAGGTCGACACTTAACCACCGAGCCACGCCGGTCAGGCAAGCCACTTGTTTTTGATCCCCCACCCACCACCGCGTACACACACACACACACACACACCCTGGGGAGGGGATGTTGAGGCTCAGAGATTCAAAATGAACCGGATTGGGCCAGATTTCCGCCTTCCAGCGCGGAGGCTGCCAAGCTCCCCACCAAGAGAGCTCCTGGGTCATGATTTCCACCTGAGGAGCCCAGGGCCTCTCAGCCTGCGAGATAACAGCTCCTGTCATTCCTCCTCCTGGAGGTGCTAGAAATACTTCAGGGAGAGGAAACCAGTCGCAGGGCCACCTCTGGTGTCCCCAACCCTTTCCCCTCCTGTCCTGGTCAGTTAGACGCCCTTCTGCACTGACTTGTGCTCTAGTTGTCTCCTGGCGGCTGCTTGCTTTGTGTTCGCAGCTGGAGTTAGTGCCCCACACTCCCTGCACCCTTTACACCCCTTCCCCACCCGGAGACTGCCGGGAAGATGCTCAAGAAATACCCCAGAAGCCCACGCTCCTTGGCTACTTTATATGAAGGCCAAACTGCAAAATAGCCAACGTCTTTCTAAAGCTGTATTTTAAAATATGAATCTTTAAAAATAGTGGCTGTAGCTAAGCACCCCCTCATAAACGCTCCTGATTTGAAAAGGTAGGTATTGTGTTATATTGTGATTAGCTATTGATGGTTCTCTGAAAGTTGGTTCAATTTGCCTTTTATTTATTTAAATATATATATTTGTATTGATTTCAGAGAAGAAGGGAGAGGGAGAAACATCAATGAGGAGAATCATGGATCGGCTGTCTCCTGCACGCCCCCTACTGGGGATCGAGCCTGCAACGCGGGCATGTGCCCTGGCCGGGAATCAAACTGTGACCTCTTGGTTCACAGGTCGACACTCAACCACTGAGCCACACTGGCCGGGCCAATTTGCCTTTTATTGACTGATTCATTGACTATTGGTAAAAATTTGTATTAAGAATATGTTTTAACCCCCATTTATTTAGTCCCTTCACGTCCCACACTTTAAACAGTACACGCGTCCTAACAACGGAAGAAGGGCACTCACAGGCCTGGAGCAGCCTCCAGTTTTGCAGGCAAAGCTTCCCACCCGGAGGTTGCAGCCTCCTTCCTATTGGCTGTTGTTGTTTGGAGATCAAGGGAGCCTCACGGTGTGGCCAAGTGTCCAAACCTCCTACAGAGAGAAGCCCACACACTCACTGGGGGACCTACAGGGAGAGAGCGGCAGCAATGCACGCAGGGCAGGGGGTTTCAACCCTCATCCGTGTCAGAACTGCCCTCCGCTGCCCAACCTGGCCTCGGTCCTGCAGGAGGAAGGCGAGTCCTGCAGGGCCTGGCTCAGTGACCTCAGGCCGGCCGCTTAATCCCTCGTGGAAGGGGGTGATGGAGGTCCCGGAGGGAGTGTGCTGAGAGGAGCTGAGTCCAGTTACAGCGTGCGCTTGGCACCCTGGACCCTGCCTCTCCCAATGGTAACATCTCCCAACATCAGCGGTTCTCAACCTGTGGGTCGCGACCCCTTTGGCGGTCGAACGACCCTTTCACAGGGGTCGCCTAAGACCATCCTGCATATCAGATATTTGCATGACGATTCATAACAGTAGCAACATGACAGTTAGGAAGTAGCAACGAAAATAATTTTATGGTTGGGTCACAACATGAGGAACTGTATTTAAAGGGCCAGAAGGTTGAGAACCACTGCCCAACATGATAGCACAATATATTAACATTTATACAATGACACACTCCACCAAGTTCATTCAGATTTCCCCAGTTTACACGCACTCCTGTGTGTGTGCATTTATTTATTATTTTTTAATCCTCACCCGAGGATATTTTTCCATTGATTTTAGAGAGTGGAAGGGAGAGGGAGAGACAGAGAGGAACACCAATGTGGGAGAGACACATCAATTGGTTGCCTCCCGCCTGCCGCAGACCAGGGCTGGGAGCCTGCAAGGGAGGTCCGTGCCCTGGACTGGAATCGAACCCGGGACCCTTCAGTCCGAAGGACGACACTCTATCCACTGAGCCAAACTGGCCAGGGTGTGTGTGTGTGTGTGTGTGTGTGTGTGTGTGTGTTCAACTCTGTGCAATTTAATCAGTCTGTGAGGATTTGTGGGGCCACCACAGTCACGGTACACTTGAGACTGATTCTTACCGCACACTCTCCAAGGCTCTGCTGAAAAAGAAAAAAAAAGGCTCATTCCTTTAACAGTTAGAGTCTAACTAGAGGCATTGAGGACCCCATTCCTGGGGCAGTGAGCACTGCCCAGCCTCGGGCAGGTGCCAGGGAAGTCTGCACTCATTCCAATCACCTGGATGGCAAAGATCCGCCGTGGAATCCTGACCGCAGAATGCAGACCCCTCATTTAACCGCTGAAGAGACCTGAGTTGGAGTTCCTCTTCCTGGCTCCTCAGTGGCAGAGCCCAGACGAGGCCCGGGCGGGCCTCAGAGTCTGTCCAGTGCTGTGCTGTCCCGTCTTGTCCTTGCCGCCGGTCCCAGCGCCATCACCTGCTAACAGCCCGGACGGATGGAGCTGCTTGGAGGAAACAGGCGTTCATCAGCGTCCGGCTTCATAACTACAAACGGCGAGAAAACAATTGTTTTTTGCAAAGCATGCAAATACCTAAATACTGCGATTTCTTTATTCCGGACTTTTATGGAAATTGAAAAAGAGGCAGGAAGAGGTGGCACACCCGTTCATGTCATAAACATGCAATGATGCCAGCCCAGCACGCACTGCCCCTCGTAGGAGTGTCCCCTGGGACACTAAGTCGTAGAGACGGAAATCCCTGAAAGTGAGAACAGGGTTTGCAGGGGAAACTTCAGGGATGTAGCTGTAGGAAGAGCCCACAAGAAGCCATTCCTCACCTGGCGGGCGGGCCTCAGTGGTTGAGCGTTGACCTAAGAACCAGGAGGTCACAGTTCGATTCTGGTCAGGGCACATGCCCAGGCTGCGGGCTCCATCCCCAGTGAGGGGCGTGCAGGAGGCAGCCGATTCTCTCATCATTGATGTTTCTCTCTCTCTCTCCCTCTCCCTTCCTCTGTGAAATCAATAAAAATATGTTTGTTTTTTTTTTAAAGATGCCATTCCTCATCTGGGCTGGGCGCTGCAGAAGGGGCTTTGTGGGAGGGTGAGCAGTCCGTCGTCCCTCCTGCGGACAGGTCCAGCGCTGGGACCCTGGCTGCAGGGG